TCTGCCCCTGTTTACAAAATTTCACCTTACTTTCTGTCCCTGCAATAATTGGATTTTGGAAAAATGTGTCTCGTTGTGGAAACAAGAAGTATTGAATTAACATCAGGGAGCCCATTCTGTTGTATTACTTCACAGCAGTAAACATTTTATCTGGCTCCCAAATCATAGAGTTGGAAGAGACCCCGTGGGCCATCCAGTCCAACAACCTGACAAGAAGCAGAAAATTGCATTCAAAGCACCCCTGACAGAAGCCTCCACCACACTCTGAGGCAGAGAGTTCCATTGCTGAACAGCTCTCATAGTCAGGAAGTTCTTCCTAATGTTCAGGTGGAATCTCCTTTCTTGTAGCCTACAGATCTCATTGCAACCTCTGCCCCAAGATCCCGCACTCATCACAGTTCCTCATGTGGCAGACCTAGGAAAGGGCCAACTTCATCTATGGATGTATTCTGTATTCCTCTACCATCCAGGGCTGCCCTTTGTCCGGGAATCTCCACATTGCTCCGAAATTCCCAAAGGTACTCTATGTCTCATTAAAAACTCAACACTGAAACTGGCCTCCAAACACGATCATGGGCACGCCTGTTTCTGGACCAAATATCTGGTCACTCGAATCCTCCCTCCGCCAACAACAATAAAGAACTTGTTTCCTCCAACCCACAGTCCTCCAGTGCTTTCCCTAACACACAATATATATATAGAGAGAGACACAAGGCCAATGACCGAGAAGGAATTTTAAGCTGGATATTACTGGTCTGAATTCGAGCACATTCTTCCCCTGTGTAGTATAGTGGATGGTTAGAATTATACTTTTTTCATGTCAGGAGTGACTTGAGAAACTGCAAGTCGCTTCTGGTGTGAGAGAATTGGCAGTCTGCAAGGACGTTGCCCAGGGGGCGCCCGGATTTTTTACAATCCTGTGGGAGGCTTCTCTCATGCTCCCGCATGAGAAGCTGGAGCTGACAGATGGGAGCTCACCTGCTCCCCGGATTCAAACCGCTGACCTTTTGGTCAGCAGTCCTGCGAGCACAAGGGTTTAACCTATTGCACCACTGGGGGCTCCTATTAGGTCTTAATTATGTAATTTGTTTATATGTTCTTTATATGCATTGAATTATCTGTTGAGTCTCTTCGTCGAGATAGGGCAGCCTACAAATAAATTATTAATATTATTATTATCATCATCTATGACATTGCTGTCATTGTTGTTTTATTATTATTATTATTATTATTATTATTATTATTATTACCAATGACATAGCTGTTATTGTTCTTATTATTTGCTGGTCCTAATATACGATTTCACAAAGTAAATAAAGATTAGGTAGACAGATATATAAAATCTGTTTCTTGTCTGGAATTCCTCTGTTTTTGAGTGTTGTTCTTTATTTACTGTTGACAAAGTAAATAAAGAGCAACACAAAAAGCAGGGGAACTCCAGACAGGGCTGGCTGATCACCTCCCAACAAAGGATTCCCCCAGGCAATAAGAAGCCATACCTTGAAACTGCTAGACCATTAAATGCTAATCAAGGTGGCCAATTGAAACATTCACACCTACCACAATAGACAATAGTTTTCTCCAAACCGGGACATTATTCCACAGATATATAAACCCCATTTTCCTAGTTTCCAACAGGCCTCAAAACCCCTGAGGATGCCTGTCATAAGATGCAAGCGAAACGTCAGGAGGAAATGCTTCTGAAACATGGCCATACAGCCCGGAAAACTCACAACAACACAGATACTCTAGCTGTTGCTGGAGGAACATTAAGAGTGGTGGTTCTCATGCTTTTCTTTGGTTTATGTCTACTGAAAGGAGACTGATAGCCATGCAAGTTGATGGTTTTCAGAGTGTTCAACCTTATTTCTTTCTTTTCCCATCCCACAACCCGGGGGGGGGGGGGGGGGGGGAGGAGATTAATAATACAAACTATTATTTTATCTCTATCTATCTATCTATCTATCTATCTATCTATCTATCTATCTATCTAATCTTTATTTGCTTTGTGAAATCATATAGTAGGACCAGCAAATAATAACAACAATAATCAGGCAGGAAGCAGCCAGGCTTTGAAGCTGCAAAGCTATTCAATTCACACCTCCAACAGACAAGGGTTCTTTCTCCCACCCTGGACATTCCACAGATATATAAACCCGTTTTTTCCTGGTTTCCAACAGACCTCACAACCTCTGAGGATGCCTGCCATAGATGGAAGCGAAACGTCAGGGGAGAATGCTTCTAGAACATGGCCATACAGCCCAGAAAACTCACAACAACACAGACACTCTTGCTATGGTAAAGTAGCAAAACCTAAAAGAATCCTCCACCTTGTGCGACCATGGAGCAGAACAAACAATTCTGCACCTGTATGCTTGTCCACAACGCCCTGCCTCATGCACAGAGGAATAATTGTTGGAGGCTAGAGACAACGCTGTCGCTGTTGACTGTTTTCGGTCAAAAAACTATTTAGCCGCTTGTGCTCCTTCGGTTTTATACTTATGTATGCAATGCTTTTGATCGGATTGGGTTGGAATTTTCAATGCTGTCATTGGTGGGGTTCAGAATGTTATTTGATTGTAGGTGAACCCCAGTAAATCCCAGTAACTACAACTCCCAAATGTCAAGGTCTATTTCTCCCAAACTCCATCTGTGTTCATATTTGGGTATATGGAATATTCGTGCCGAGTTTGGTCCAGATCCACCACTGTTTGAGTCCACAGTGCTCTCTGGCTGTAGGCGAACTACAACTCCCAAACTCAAGGTCAATGCCCACCAACCCCTTCTAGTGTTTTCTGTTGGTCATGGGAGTCCTGTGTGCCAAGTTTGGTTCAATTCCATAATTGGTGGGGTTCAGAATGCTCTTTGATTTTAGGTGAACTATAAATCCCTGCAACTACAACTCCCAAATGACAAAATCGATTTTTTTTAGTGATGGCCACTTGTTAGCCTGATAGGCGTATTGTGTCCAAATTTGGCGTTAAATCGCCTCGTTGTTTTTGAGTTATGGTAATCCCACAAACAAACATTACATTTTTATTTATATACACATACACACACACACATATTATATTTATATAGACATACACTCATACGCATATTATATTAGCATAACACAATATTGGCATTATACATTTCCTTATTGTGCTATACCACTATACTGCAATATTTTTAATAATATTAGATGTAATATACTATATATCTATATATATAAAAATGTAATGTGTGTTTGTTGGATTAACAGAACTCAGAAACAACTGGATGAATTGACACCAAATTTGGACACAAGACACCTAACAACCCAATGTATGTCCTTCACTAAAAAAAAAAAATGATTTTGTCATTTGGGAGCTGTAGTTGCTGGGATTTACAGTTCACCTACAATCAAAGAGCATTCTGAACCTCACCAACGATGGAATGAAACCAATCTTGGGACACAGTTCTCCCATGGCCAACAGAAAATACTGGAAGGGTTTGGTGGGCAGTGTCCTTTGGTTCTGGAGTTGTACTTCAACTACATCCAGAGATCACTGTGGACTCAAACAATGATAGATCTGGACCAAACTCTACAAGAATACTCAATATGCTCAAATGTGAACACTAGTGGAGTTTGGGGGAAATAGAATCTTGACATTTGGGAGTTGTAGTTGTTGGGATTTATAGTTCACCTACAATCATAGAGCATTCTGAACCTCACCAATGACAGAATTGGGCCAAACCTCCCACACAGAACCCCCATGTGGGCCACGGCAACGTGTGGCAGGGGGCGACTAGTCATTATTATTATATTTTATTATAATAATACCTATATATACAAGAGCTCGTTTCCAGGACTAGCTTTTCCATGACTAATTTCCATATACTAAAAAGAGGTTTCAATTCCAACTTTCCAAAACCATTCACAGAATAATAAAATAGAACACATTGTAAAATGTTTTTAAAATCACTCTTTCCATTTTCCAAAGTGTATTTTTTCCAAAAAATAGTATAAAATTCAATGATAGAACAGGATAAAATGCATGAAAACAATAAGCAAGGGCAATCTGAACTATACTTATCTCTCTTTCCCTTTTGTAAATCACTCTTTCCATTTCCCAAAAGTATATATTTTTTCCAAAAATAGTATAAAATATGATAAAACAGAATAAAATGCATAAAAATAATAAGAAAGGGCCATCAGAACTATACTTATCTCTCTTTCCCTTTTGTAAATCACTCTTTCCATTTCCCAAAGTATACTTTTCCCCCCAAAAAAATAGTATAAAATATGATAAAACAGAATAAAATGGATGAAAACAATAAGCAAGGGCAATCAGAACTATATTTATCTCTCTTTCCCTTTTGTAAATCACTCTTTCCATTTCCCAAAGTGTATTTTTCCCAAAAATAGTATAAAATTCGATAATAAAACAGAATAAAATACATGAAAAGTATATATTTTTTCCAAAAATAGTATAAAATTCAATAATAAAACTGAATAAAATGCATGAAAACAAAAAAGAAGGGAAATCAGAACTATATTTACCTCTCTTTCCTTTCATAAATCACTTTTCCCATTTCCCAAAGTATATTTTTCCCCAAAAATAGTATTTAAAATTCGATGATAAAAAAGAACACATTTTCCAAAGTATACTTTTCCCCAAAAAATAGTATAAAATATGACAAAACAGAATAAAATGCATGAAAATAATATGCAAGGGCAATCAGAACTCTATTTACGTCTCTTTCCCTTTTGTTTACTTCAGGCATGGGCAAACTTGGGCCTTCCAGGTGTTTTGGACTTCAACTCCCACAATTCCTAGCGGCCTCAGGCCCCTTCCTGAGGAAGGGGCCTGAGGCCGCTAGGAATTGTGGGAGTTGAAGTCCAAAACACCTGGAAGGCCCAAGTTTGCCCATGTCCTGTTAAGTCTTGTATATTAATTGGTTTCAAGGGGAAGGGAGAGGAAGGAGAAGCCAGGGGGCGCTCTGCACATGCCCAGAGGCGCTCGTTTCCCTCTCACCTTGCGCTGCTGCTTCTCCCAGGCGGGGTCGAGCAGGAGGTCCCTGTCCCAGTCGTCCTCTTGAGCCATGTAGTCCCCGATGCCGGGCCCGTTGCCGCCGTACTGATAAGAAGCTGGTTGTCCGGCGGCGTGGTAATCCACCATCGCGTTAGAACCGGGCCGAGAGGAAGCTGGCGAGGGCGTGTCGCGCGCAGGAGGGAGGGTGGGGGAGAAGGCGCGCCTTGCTCCGTGCGCGGCGGCGGCAACTGAGCGACTGACGAAGAGGGCGACGAAAGGGATCGAGCGGCTCGCACTGCGCCTGCGCGAACCAGCGCCACGCCCCCCTCCTCTCTGATTGGCTCCCGTTATGCCTTCGCATGCCACCACTGAGACCCCGCCCATAGAATGGAGAGGGAAGGAACCCAAACTCCGGGCCAGCGCCACGCCCCCCTCGTCCCTGATTGGCTCCCACCACTGAGACCCCGCCCATAGAAAGGAGAGGGAAGGAACCCAAACTCCGGGCCAGCGCCACGCCCCCCTCGTCCCTGATTGGCTCCCACCACTGAGACCCCGCCCATAGAAAGGAGAGGGAAGGAACCCAAACTCCGCCCCCTTGTTGTTGAGTATTATTATTTACTACTTTGATGAAATTATAATATAAATATAACATGTATATCCCGCCCTCTCTCTCTTACAATATATTGCTGCTACTACTTCTACTACTTATAATACAATATAATAATATTAATTATTATACAGCACAACAACAAAGAGGAATCAAACAAGGGCATCTAATCACCTCTCAGCAAAAGATTGCTCCAGGCACTGCCAGGCCATCAAATGCTAATCAAGGTAATCCGTTGAAACATTCACACCTAGCTCCAACAGACAAGAGTCCTTTCATAGAATCATAGAATCAAAGAGTTGGAAGAGACCTCATGGGCCATCCAGTCCAACCCCCTGCCAAGAAGCAGGAATGTTGCATTCAAATCACCCCTGGCAGATGGCCATCCAGCCTCTGTTTAAAAGCTTCCAAAGAAGGAGCCTCCACCACACTCCGGGGCAGAGAGTTCCACTGCTGAACAGCTCTCACAGTCAGGAAGTTCTTCCTCGTGTTCAGATGGAATCTTCTCTCTTGTAGTTTGAAGCCATTGTTCCGCGTCCTAGTCTCCAAGGAAGCAGAAAACAAGCTTGCTCCCTCCTCCCTGTGGCTTCCTCTCACATATTTATACATGGCCTATCATGTCTCCTCTCAGCCTTCTCTTCTTCAGGCTAAACATGCCCAGCTCCTTAAGCCGCTCCTCATAGGGCTTGTTCTCCAGGCCCTTGATCATTTTAGTCGCCCTCCTCTGGACACATTCCAGCTTGTCAATAACAAATGCTAATCATATTAATTATTATACAGCACAACAACAAAGACAAAATAAACAAGGAATTCTAATCACATCTCAGCAAAATATTGCTCCAGGCACTGCCAGGCCATCAAATGCTAATCAAGGTGGTCAGTTGAAACATTCACACCTAGCTCCAGCAGACAAGAGTCCTTTGTCCCACCCTGGTCATTCCACAGATATATAAATCCTTTTCCTAGTTCCAACAGATCTCACTACCTCCGAGGATGCTTGCCATAGATGCAGGGAAAACGTCAGGAGAAAATGCCTCTAGACCATGGCCATATAGCCCGAAAAAACCTACAACAACCCACTATTATATATTACATCTAATATTACTAATAATATTACAATATAATGGTATATCACAATATCACCCCAAGTAGTAGTAGCAATATACTTACAATATATTGCTACCACTACTAATAATAATACAATATATTAATATTAATTATATATTACATCTAATATTACTAATAATATTACAGTATAGTGGTATATCACAATATATTTATTTATTTATTTATTTGTGACATTTATACTACTCTTTCACCCCGAGTAGTAGCAGCAGTATACTTACAATATATTACTAACACGACTAATAATAATACAATATAATAAAATTAATTATATATTACATCTAATATTACTAATAGTATTACAGTATAGTGGTATATCACAGTATATTTATTTATGGAATTTATATCCCGCCCTCTTTCACCCCGAGTAGTAGCAGCAGTATACTTACAATATATTACTACCACGACTAATAATAATACAACATAATAATATTAATTATATATTACATCTAATATTACTAATAATATTATAGTATAGGGGTATACCACAATATATTTATTTATCTATTTATTTATGTATGACATTTATACCCCACTCTCTCTCACCCCGAGTAGTAGCAGCAGTATACTTACGATATATTGCTACTACTACAAATAATAATAATAATAATAATAATAATAATACAATATAATAATATTAATAATATATTATATATTACATCTAATATTGCTAATAATATTACAGTATAGGGGTACATCACAATATCACCCTGAGTAGTAGCAGCAGTATACTTACAATATATTGCTACTACTACTACTAATAATAATACAACATAATAATATTAATAATATATTATATATTACATCTAATATTACTAATAATATTACAGTATAGTGGTATATCACCACATAGTAATTTATTTATTTATTTATGACATTTATATGCCCCCCCTTCTCACCCCGAAAGGAACTCAGAGAGGCTTACAAGACATATGTACGTACAATATATTATATTATTAGCATAGTACAATATCAGTATTATATATTACTATATTGCACTATACTATTATATTGTGATATTATTATTATTATTATATCATAATATTATAAATATTATATATACATACAATATATTACATTATTAGCATAGCACAATATCAGTATTATATATTACTATATTGTATTATATCATTATATTGTAATATTATTGGTAATATTACATGTAATATAAAATATATAATTTTAATACCATATTATTATTAGTAGTATTATATTGTATTACATTATAAGGTCATAAATATTATATGTATATACAATAAATATTAGCATAGTACAATATCAGTATTATATATTATTATATTGCACTATATTATTATATTGTAATATTATTAGTACTATTACATGTAATATACAATATATAATTATAATATCATATTATTAGTAGTATTTTATTTTATTATAATATAAATATTATATATGCATACAATATATTACATTATTAGCATAGCACAATATCAGTATTATATATTACTATATTGTATTATACCATTATATTGTAATATTATTAGTAATATTACATGTAGTATAAAATTTATAATATCATATTATTAGTAGTAGTATTATATTCTATTGTAAGATTATAAATATTATAAGCATATACAATATATTATATTAGCATAGTACAATATCAGTATTATAGCTTACTATATTGCACTATACTATTATATTGTATTATTAGTAATATTACATGTAATATAAAATATATAATTATAATATCATATTATTAGTATTTTATTTTATTATAATATTATAAATATTATATATGCATACAATATATACAATATCAGTATTATAGCTTACTATATTGCACTATACCATTATATTGTATTATTAGTAATATTACGTGTAATATAAAATATATATAATAAGTATATATATATAAGTATATATATATTATATAATATATTATATTAATATATTATATTAATATATTATATATTATATATTATATAATAATATATTATAATATATTATAAGTATATATAAGTATATATATATAAGTATATATATATTATATAATATATTATATTAGCATAGTACAATATCAGTATTATATATTACTGTATTGCACTATACTATTATATTGTAATATTATTAGTACTATTACATGCAATATAAAATATATAATTATAATATCATATTATTAGTAGTATTTTACTATATTATAATATTATAAATATTATATATGCATACAATATATGCTATATCAGTATTATAGCTTATTATATTGCACTATACTATTATATTGTATTATTAGTAATATTACATGTAATATAACATATATAATTTTAATACCATATTATTAGTAGTAGTATTATATTGTATTATACTATAAGATTTTAAATATTTTATAAAATATATAATTAATTTATATACTTCCTGACTGTTTGAGCTGTTCAACAGTGGAACTCACTGCCTGGGAGCCTTGTGGAAGCCCCTTCTTTGGAAACTTAACAGAGGCTGGATGGCCATCTGCCAGGGGTACTTTGATTGTGCTTTTCCTGCATGGCTGAAGGGGGGGTTGCACTTATGGCTCATGTGGTCTCTTCCAACTGTTATTATTCTATGATTCTCTAAATAAATAAATAAGTAACGTTTGCGCATGCGCCTGAAGAGAAGGGGAGCCACTCAATGGAAATCCTCCTTTCATGGCTATTCATTAACAAAACATTGGAAACTAGTTTTAAGTAGTGCGCATGCGCAAGCTCGCCCCTCTCAGACGGCGCCCCCCCCCCTTGTTTGCGCCTGCGCGGTAGGAAGCGACTAAGACGGGCTCATTCTTTTCAGGAATGCGCGGCCGTTCTGGTTTGCTGGGTTTGTCTGCAGTGCGCATGCGCAGCTCGCTTCGCGCCATTTCTGTTTCCCTCACTCCTGAGGGAAGTTTGAATGTCTAAATCAGTCATGGGCAAAGTTGGGCCCTCCAGGCATTTTGGACTCCAACTCCCAGCATTCCTAACAGCCTCAAGCCCCTTCCTTTTCCCTCTCAAAGGAAAGGGCCTGAGGCTGTTAGGAATACTGGGAGTTGGAGTCCAAAACGCCTGGAGGGCCCAACTTTGCCCAGGCCTGACTCTTCACTAACTATACCTACAATGGTGTACCGCCTGAGCTCTGCGAGTGCAGCATTTTTCCAAATGAAGCAGAGAGTGTTTGAGGACCGGGACAGCCGTAGGGATACCAAGGTGCTTGTTTATAAAGCTATTGTCCTCCCAACCCTGCTATATGCCTGTGAGACGTGGACTGTCTACAGACGTCACATGCAACTCCTGGAACGATTCCATCAGCGCTGCCTCCGGAAAATCCTACTATGTGCCTGTGAGACGTGGACTGTCTACAGACGTCACATGCAACTCCTGGAACGATTCCATCAGCGCTGCCTCCAGAAAATCCTACTATGTGCCTGTGAGACGTGGACTGTCTACAGATGTCACATGCAACTCCTGGAACGATTCCATCAGCGCTGCCTCCAGAAAATCCTACTATGTGCCTGTGAGACGTGGACTGTCTACAGATGTCACATGCAACTCCTGGAACGATTCCATCAGC